ACTTTGCGCATCTTGTAGGCCTTGATGAATTATGTCTAACGTAAAAAAGTTCATGCCCCTAGCTTGTTCCTAGTTAGATATCGAGGTTTTAGTGAATTTTTCTTATAAGACCCCACATTTGCAGCAAGGCCATATTTTTGAATTTTGATCTGAAACTTTGCTCACATAAACATCTCAGCTAGACTAGTTTGCATAAAAAATTTCAGAACTTTTGGACAAAGTTTCTCTGAGATATGAAGCTTTCAACGTATAAGCCGTTTTCCATAGATATCGTATAAATCATGCATTTTTTGAAAGCTTCATATCTCGGAGAGACTTTGTCCAAACATTCTGAAAGTTTTTATGGAAACTAGTCTAGCTGAGATGCTCATGTGGGCAAAGTTTCAGATCAAAATTCAAAAATATGGCCTTGCTGCAATTGTGGGGTCTTATAGGAAAAATTCACTAAAACCTCGATATCTCACTAGGAACAAGCTAGGGGCACGAACTTTTTTAAAGTTATACATAATTCATCAAGGCCTACAAGATGCGCAAAGTCCCGACTAAAAATCGCTCCAACACCAGGGAATGTTCTCTCGTAAGTTTTGAGTTAGATGGTGTTGTTATTAGGAAAATTATTAAACAACTTTGATTACAATTTAATTATAAATTTAACAAATGAGTATGAAATGAAGTAGTAAAACAAACGGTATGTTAGAAAGGACAAGTCTTTCACAGCATGCAAATCAATTTATTAGTCATATTAGATTTCGTAAAAGTCATACAAAATAATGATCTGTTGAGTCAAGAATTCAGCTATAAACTTTAAATGCATCATGTGTTAATTCTCTCTGAAGTTTATTCATTTGATTATATATCAAGAGCATGGTATAATAATAAGATTTATCTTTTTTTTTTATTGTCTGTTTGATGTTTAATCATAAATTTCATTGTTTTGTTCTTTAGGATTATTTGGAAACAAAACGATTAGCTTTTCCTCGTCTATTTTTTCTTAGTAATGAAGATTTATTAGATATTCTCTCTCATTCAAAAGATGCAAATTGTGTACAAGTATGTTCATTGATGTTTGTTATATAATCTATCAAAAATGAAAAATTCTTTAATAAATATTCTAGCCACATTTACGTAAATGTTTTGCTAATATTTTTCATCTTCATATTGCAAAAACTCCAGTGGAAGTTGTAACAAGTATGCAATCAGTCGAAGGTAATAAAAATAATTTTTTCAGTCAAAAATATAAGACCAACGCGTTTTTTTGCGATACTAAGAACTTCACTCAGATCCAAGTAATGGTTTGAATAACTAATAAAGTTCTCTATGAAATGTATTTCATACTGAAGTTTCATAAATGAGCTCTGAAAGATGATTTCTAAACAATAAAATACGGTAGATTTCATGTCTCAGAATATTGTGTGAAAATTAGTTTTTTTGTTTAGAGAATAAACTTTGAATAAAATAAGGAGTTGCCGAGTTTCTTACGACCTTTCCTTAAGAAGTTATGACCAATACAAACCAAAATTTATCATATCATTGCTAAAAAACGCATTTTTTTTTTGTTTTTTGTGAGGCTTATAACTTTTTCTAGAAAGGTTGTAGAAAACGCGGTAATACCTTATCCTATTCAGAATTGTGTACTTTTAAAAACTAATTTTCAAAGTTCACGGTGTTTAATTTTTCAGAAGCCTTATATTCCATTCATGAAGTTTCAGTGTGAAATGCATTCGATAGAGAACTTTATGATCTATTCAACTCATTATTTGGATTTGATTTAAATGCTTGATATCGTAGAGAGTACATTGATTTTACATTTTTGATAAGTACCACAATTTAATTTCATAGGTGAAATTGTAAATTTTCCAAAAACTGTTCGTCCAAGAGGTATGGTTGAACAATGGTTAACTTCAGTTGAACAAGCTATGTATGATGCTGTTAAACATCATCTTAAAGTTAGTTTAAAATCTAACATACTTATTTTTTTTAAACCATTCAATTTTTTGTTTTATTTACATTATAGTTAGGTTTATCTGATATAAAAACTGCAGATTATATTAATTGGATTCTTCAACATCCAGGCCAAGTTGTTTTAACTATTTCTCAAGTAATATATACACGACAAGTAAATGACAAATTTGATCCACAATCAACGGAAACAGATACTGCACTTATTCAAATACGTGATCAAATGATAACAACAATTAATAATGTATGTTCATTAGTATTTTCTAATATTGAACAATCAAAATTATTAACTGTCGAAGCATTATTAACATTACAAGTTCATTGGCGTGATATATTTGAAATGCTTATTAAACTTCATGTAAGATAAATTATATTTAAATAAGAAGTTTTTTTTTATTTTGTATAAATAGATTCGAGATAAAAGTGATTTTGAATGGCAAAAACATCTACGATATGATTGGAGTGATAAAGAAACAAATTTTCAAATACTTCAAGGTGATGCAAGTTTTCCTTATGGTTATGAATATCTTGGATGTTCAAGTCGATTAGTTGTTACACCACTTACGGACAGGTTTGAATATTTATTTTATCTTCTCTAATTCAAACTGATAACGGATTTCTTTTTTTTTTGAAAGATGTTATTTAACATTAACTGGTGCAATTAAACTTAATCTTGGTGGTGCACCATCAGGTAAAGAAAAAAAAAAACAAACAAGGAGAACTATATTTTACATCTATGATGAAAATAAATTGTTTTTATTTAGGTCCGGCTGGAACAGGAAAGACGGAAACTGTTAAAGATTTATCAAAATCATTTGGAAAACTTTGTTTAGTATTCAATTGTTCTGATGAACTTGATCATAAGGTAAAACTATTCTTTTTTTGTTTTGGATTAGACTTGAGAATAAAAAAACGTTATGTATAGACACTTGGAAAAATGTTTAGTGGATTAGCACAATCAGGTTTGTTTTATTTGTTGAATTTTATTGTTGTTGTTTTGTTCTTTTTTACATATTTTTTATTATTATTTAGGATCATGGTGTTGTTTTGATGAGTGAGTTATTTAATAGTATTTTCTTAATATTATATGTTTGGTATTTAAGATTTAATCGTATTGATGTTGAAGTATTATCTGTTGTTGCTCAACAATTATTAACGATTAAAACAGCTAAAGATGCACATGCTCAACGGTTTGTTTAAAATTTTAAAATAAAAGAAAAAGAAATTTATTCTTAATATTCAATTTATTTAGATTTACATTTGATGGCCGTGAAATTAAGATGAATTTAACTTGTGGTTTTTTCGTTACTATGTAAAATATGAAAATATTATAAAAAAAAAAAAAAAAGAAATTGCTCATATGATTCTATTCTTTAGGAATCCAACTTATTCTGGTCGTTTTGAATTACCTGATAATTTAAAACCTATGTTTCGACCTATTGCTATGATGATACCACATTACGCATTAATTGGTGAAGGTAATTTGAACAATACTAAATAAAAAAAGTAATTTCTAATATATTATTTTGTATTCTTTTTATTTAGTCATTCTTTTTTCTGTTGGTTTTACATCAGCAAAAGTTCTTGCAACAAAAATTGTTTACTTATATAATTTATCAAATAGTCAATTATCTCAACAAGATCATTATGATTTTGGTATGCGAGCTATTAAAGCTGTTCTTTTAATGGCTGGTGAAATAAAACGATCACATGTTAATGATCCAGATTTAACTAATGAACAATCAGAAGTATATTTATCTTTGTCCTTTTTAATAATAATAAATTTCATATTTTATAATCTTATCTAGGAAGGTATTATGTTACAAGCATTAGTTGAATCAAATCTTCCAAAATTACTTAAAGAAGATTCAATTCTTTTTCTTGGTATTCTTCGTGATCTTTTTCCTCAAGCTGATAAAAGTTTACATGAACATGGAAATATTCAACAAGCTATAAAACGTGCTATTAAAGATTTAAATTATGAATATTGGCCTACACAAGCTGATAAAGCATTACAACTTTATAATCAAATTGTTCTTCGACATGGTACAATGCTAGTTGGTGGAGCTGGTGGAGGAAAAACTGTTGTACGAAATATTCTTCAAAAAGCATTAACATTTTTATCTAATATAGGAAAAGAAGGATCACAAGTATATGTTAAGAAAAAAATAAAATAAAATCGAATTATTCGAAATTTTTATTTTTAATTTAGAATCGAATAACTCGGTCAGCTACTGTTGACGTAACAGTTTTAAATCCAAAATCAATGCAAATAACTGAACTTTATGGAGCTATTAATTCTGATACATTAGAATTTTCTGATGGAATGGTAAGAAATATTGACAGTTCAAAAATCTTTCATTAAGTAGGATGGAATTTAGATTATTCTACAGTTGTTGCATTTTTCTCAACAAATTGCACTTCAACAGATAGTATCGTGTGTCAGAAGACGAAGAGTACTATAATGAATTTCGTAGCTGAAATGCTTCAGTTGTTCAATGAGTAGTTGGAATTTCACCGATTGGCGAAAGTAGAGTAAACTTTCGAAAGCTGTCATGAAACAATATTAATAAAGGATACGTGTGACGGCAAAAGCTAACATTGTTAGAACATATATATCATACCTTACATTCATTGATGTAGTTGAGAGAATTTTTAAATCTATATATGATTCACAGTCATCTTGGTGAATTTCCAGAATCCTTGCTCAATGTACTTGCACTTGATGAAGTATGTTATGTTGCTCAGCCCTGTGTTTTATTGAAAAGTACATGTCGATACGCACTATAAAGTAGTGTACCAGCCTTTGATAAAATTTTGAGGTTTTATGAAAGTTAACGAGAAAAGTTTGAGTCCGGACCGACATATTTGTTTGATGAATTAAATTGATAATTTCAATTGTTTGTATTTTTGTTTAGTTTGCAAGTGTTATGCGATCATATTCAAAAACTCATGAATCTCAAATGACTACAGAAAAGGTAAAATCACAAATAAATGAAATTGTGTTAGTCATTTTTATTATTTATAGAGTGAACATCATGCTGATCATTGGCAATGGTTAGTTCTTGATGGTCCAATTGATACATTATGGGTTGAAAATTTAAATACAGTAAGTTAAGATAAAAAGAGAAAATAAGACTATGTATAATCTGTAGCTTCTTGATGATTCAAAAATACTTTGTTTGGCTAATGGTGAACGTATTGGAATGTCTGGACATACGCGAATTTTATTCGAAGTTGATTCTTTAGTAAATGCATCACCAGCTACTGTTAGTCGTTGTGCGATGGTTTATTTAGATCCAGTAGATCTTGGATATAAACCTTTCTTAAATCAATGGTATCGATGTAAACTACCTAATACATTATCACAGAGTGCAATTGAATTTCTTCGAGAATTAATGGATTTTTCATTAGATAAAGGTTTTCAGAATTATTTTCATTTTTATACATAATGAATTTTGCTTTTTCTATAGGATTTACTTTTCTTAGTGAATTGAAAGATCCTTGGCATATGCCAGTATCAAAAGTGAATGTTTTGCAAACACTTTGTTATTTATTATCAACTTTTTTGAATTATTTGGATAAACATGGAGGTTTTGGTGAAGATGATCAACGACTAACGGCAGCAGCAGGAAGTATGATGCCTTCTTCTATATCAAACAAATAGAAAGGATCAACATTTTATGTATTCTTCTTTTCAAGGAAAGATACTAAACATAGATTTCATTTTGTAAATATCCATATGAGTTTAATTTAATATTTAAATAGAGGCACAAGGAAAATAAACTAAATAATTTAAATTTAACTTTTAAACCTTTTCTGAAGAAAAAATAAAACTTTGATAACAAAACTCAAGAAGTCCATTAAGAAAATAGAACGTATCATCATAAAACTGCTTATTTTAGACAATCCACCAACAACATCTGGCTCTAAATATTACACACCCAGGTATGATATTGAAATAAATATAGAAGAAATATGAATTCGATATTCTTTTTTGCTAGTGAGGAATTAGTCGTTTATATAATTAATGACAAGAAACAATACTATTTACAAAAGAATCCCAAAAATCTTCGACAATGTTTTATACGTATTTATATATTTTGTTATGTTTGGAGTTTTGGTGGTGGATTAAAAGTAAGTTTGAATATTTATTTTTTCTTTTGTTAATATGAATAATATTTATTTTTTTCTTGTCTTAGCGAGAAGATAATTTTGAAGATGATAATTTAATAAATCAAAAAGAACAAGTTAAAATTGATCGTGATCCAATTACACAAGAATTTGATACATTTGTTCGGTAATCTTTAAAAAAATATTAATTTTATTAATTTTTTTTTTTTTTTCATCTAAATAACTCTTATCTAGGGAATTATTTTCTTCTAATGTTAATTATGCCGTTTATTTACCACCTGATTCACGTATGATATATGATTATATGATAGATTTAAATACATTTGTTTATCATGAATGGGAGTCACTTGTACCTAAAACAGAACAATTAATTAAAAGTGAAAATTCACAAACTGTTATACCAACTGTTGATATTATTCGTTATTCATTTTTAATAACAGCTTTACTTATGCATAAAAAACCAGTTCTTTTAACTGGTATAGATTTTTTAATTTTGCATAGTTTCTTTTTTTTTAATTGTAATTTTTTATTCTCTATGTAAAGGTAATAGTGGTGTAGGAAAAACTTTACTTATTGAAGCAATGCTTCGATCCCTAACGTTACCTGATGGAAATTTTGTTCGACCAGGTACTATTCTTGGTGATATTTTACAATATAATGCTACAAAAAGTTCAACAACAACGAAATTAGTACAAACAACAGATTTACCTGTTGAAAATACTGAAGGTGGTGGTAAGTAGAATAAAAAAATTTTTATTTTTATTTTTGAAGAATTTGATTTATATAAATAAAATTTTGTAACTCTTAGGAAATATTTTGCTTCGTACGAAGCAAAAGAGTAAGTCATTATTTGGAGATAAAATCCTTTTATTCGTATACAAATTCAATTTTGATACGAATTAAAGGATAATTCAATAAATAAAAGCTTATTAAATTTGTCTTAATAATAATTTCTCTTTTTTTTTTTTGGTATTTGTAAATTAAACAACTGGTCAATAAGAGAAAGATAATTGAAATTTGTTTGTTCATCTATGTTGTGTAAATATGATAAATTTTCTTCTGAAGATTTGTCATCGTAGTTTTTTTTTCCTATTTGTAATTGATATTTGAAGTAGTAATATGGCTTATGTTTTGTTCTCGGAATATTCCCAAGATTGTGTATGAAGAAAACTCAGGTGTTACCCTGAAGAATTTCTCTTATATTATCCGTAATTAGCTATTAAAAGAATACAGGATATATATTTGATAATTAACTGAACTAAAAATTTGAATAGGTTTAACATTATGTTATATTATCTGAACTGGGTATTGATCTAGACAGAAGGCGAAAAAGACTAATATATCTTGGCTAACGATTGTGGTTGAATAATAATCTCTTCGGCTTTAATTTCAACTTCATTTTAGTATTTTCTTTTTCGCCACTGCTAACTTTCGATATGCTGGATTGTTAGTTCCCATGTGCTCCACCTAGTGTGAAATCTATTTACTGATGATTATGTATAGAAGTAGTGATTATTGAGGTGGCCCGCTCTTTAATATAAACGATCTTGATAATACGTTTTCTATTTCTATCGAAGTGACTTGATGATCGAGAAATGATATAATAAAACTAATTAGATAGTCTGAGAGTCGAGTTTCTTTTAACTAGTAAATCAGTTCATCAAACCATACAGAGTAAAAAGCTGTTTTTCTGTCAAAAAATAGAATTTGTGAGTGCTGTCGTTTGTCGAGTTGTTTATGCGCAAATCTATCGAGATGAATGATATCGTACATATTCATTTTGTGTAGTCGAAAGTCAGTTTGACGCATCCAGAAGAATATTTCTTTGATTTAGTTCTATTAACATTTATTGTTTGATAATTTTTTTCTAAAAACATTAGCAACGTATAAGGTACTGTTCGAGCATTTCGATCTAAACATAATATTAAAAATTAAAACAGTTATTCACAAGTGAGCGGTGATCACCGATCACTCTATCATGAATGGATCTAACGTTAAATATTTATTTGAAGCTCACATCAAGTTTTTCGAAGAAAATTGTACTGAGTTTAAGTTTCAAGTCTATGTTTTTCAGCTCCCCTAAAATTAACTGAATGAGGAAGGTGGTCAACAATCATTAGGTATGTTTTCACATCAACCTAGAATAACAAGTATTAGAATCCTTGCTCAGAGCTCCTTAACAATGGAAAAAAGTGCTGAATAACTTTAACAACAAGGCTTCGATTATTTTAGAATACTCGAAAGTCTTCATTGAAGTTTGAATGTCTGGAGTATGTTTGTGAATGTTCTGATTAGTGTAGTTTCTGACTCTTTGCCTCAATTGAACACTTATATTCAAAATGGCAAGGATGATGAGTAGCAATGTATTGAATTGTCACAATAGTCATATGATCGACATAAAAAGGGTGAATTGGTTAAGTTATAACTTAACAAAATAATTAATATAAGTGTTTATGAGCTTATCGAAATATATAATAGTGTATCGAGATCTACTGTAGATATAAATGAAAGGTAAGAAGTCAAATAAAAATTTAGAAACTATAGTTTATTAGACATTTTTCACGTTATGTATTTTGTATGAATAATATACTGAAGCTAAAGAACACATATGAGTTCTACATTTTAGCTCTAAAGAGATTGTGTTGACGAGTTCTTTTCAAAATATTTCGATTGTAATTTCATAGTTATTATAATACTTTCATAGAGAAATTCTAAACAAATATTAAAAGATGAACATATTAATATAATCTTGTCTAACATTTGCTATATGTTTATTTTATAAATAATCCATGTGTTTTTCTTTTTAATCAATTAGCTTTACAATCACTGAAAATACAAATGAGTGCTCAAACAACACCAAATAAATTCGTTAATCAATTAACAAGCAGTTTAATTAAAAAAAATGCGAACTTACTTGGTTGCCCAGCAGGCAAATGGTTATTAGTATTTATTGATGATTTAAATATTCCACAAGTTGATTCATTTGGTGATCAACCAACACTCGAAACATTACGATATATTTTACAAACAGGTTTATTTTTTTCTAAATATAAAATTTTTTTTTTTCTAATTCTTTTTTTTTGTCTATTAGGATCAGCTATTGATCCAGCAAAGAATCAAATACGTCCACTATCAGATATAACAGTTATAACAGCTTGTGATTCACCATCATCAGGTCGTTCTGTACCATCAAAACGCTTACTTCAATCATTTTCAATATTTGCATTACCTGATCCAGCAGCTAAACAATTATTTCATATATATAGCGTTCGTCTAGGTCGATTTTTAAATAGTGTAGATTTTCCAGTTGATGTACGTTCATCACTTTATCTTCTTGTATCAGCTTGTCTTGTTATGTATTATCGTGTTTCAATTAATATACTTCCAACACCATCAAAAGTTCATTATATATTTAATTTAAGAGATTTAGCTAAACTTGCACAAGGTATTATGCAAGCATCACCGAAAAATACAATCAATCAAGATTCATTAGCTATTCTATTTGCTCATGAATGTTTACGTGTTTTTGCTGATCGTTTAGTAACAGAAAATGATTTAAATATTTTTTATAAACATTTAAATGCAACAATGTTAGGTTATTTTAAAATATCATTAGATATATCAAAATATATTGAAAATCCATTATTATATTGTAATTTTTTAAAATCTGATGATCGTTTATATCAACAATTACATGATTGGCATCAATGTTGTTCAATTTTTTTGGATTATCAAATGAGACATAATTTAAGTGAACATTCAACACTTAATATGGTTTTTTTTAAAGAAGCTGTTGAACATGTTTTGAGAATATGTCGAGTTTTACAACAACCAGGTGGACATCTTTTATTAATTGGTCTTGATGGTACTGGAAGAAAGACATGTTTACAATTATCGGCTTTTATTTCTGGTCATTTAATGTTTCAATTGAATATAAAACGTGGATATTCATATCAAGATTTTAAAGATGATTTGAAAATTGTAAGGAAACTAATTGTATAATATGTTGTAAATCGAGAATGTTATTAAAATATTATTCGAAATGATTAGCCATTAAGTTTAATAAAGAACTGTAAGCTTTTTCGAGTTATGAATAATTAACGGATCGCTCATAAATAATGGACCAGATTTTTGGAGAACAATAACATATTCAAAGGCTCTGTTCTAAGTTTATTTGATAGAAAATTCTTCTCTCGACAAAATTAAAAAGATAAACTGCCTATCGGTCATCCAGTTGGGATTCTTCATATTTTCACATATATCTATCGATTTTGTAAGTCTGTATTCATGAAATCCGACGCTAAAAGTAACGTATGTAGTATTCCATAGATAGAGAATTTTGTGTTATATCCTTCCACGACCTTGTTGAGGCGTCTAATACTGTTGTCTAGGAGAAAAGAACTCGAAATCAACACTTGACAGTTTTTTTTTGGAAAGTCATGTTTTCAAAAGGTAGACAGGATATATGAAAGGTTTATTATAATACTGTCATACAGTCTTTATCGGTGTTTTCTCGTAACAAATTTTCTCCATTTTAGCGAAACTATTATTTAAGAAGTTTTATCACGTTTTTTATTTTTGACTGTCTAGATAGTTTTGTAAAGCGACGAATTCTCTATCGAATGAGCTTAGAACAGAGCCATTGAAAATGTTCTTGTTCTTCCAAAATATTAAACAAAAAAGGTCCCAATATTTATGTATTACCTGTTAATATTGTAGTTTTATTAATAAAATCTTGTTGTTGATAGCTGAGAATTCATCGAAAAACTTAGATATTACTTATTCTTGGTTAAAGGAATAAATAGATTGTTTTTCTTTATTATTTGTGAAAGGATTACAGCTCTTTGTTAAAATCAACTTTCAATACTAATGAACAATATTTCGACAGTATTTCTCTTATGAATATAATCCATGAACATTTCCGTATTAGTAGTAAAAAGATTTCATTTGTCTAATGGCTTTCTGGATACTCTTATATATGAAATCGAGAGCAAATGAATTTCTTCTTTTAAGTGTTTTTATTACTATACTTTGTTTATTATTAATTATATTATATATAGTGAAAAAGTACGAAATGATCTGTATCTTATGGGATATTTATCTTGAACAACAAATGATGTTTAAAATATAAAAAACTGTATCAGAAAAAAAAATGATGTTTTTTTCTTTCTTTCAATGTATGTTTACATCTGGATATAGTATATAATCTGTTTCAAAATAAACGACGTATGATAGTAAAAACACAAAAGAAAGGATAGAAATTCCGTTTTCTTTTTCATTGTAATCGTCAAAAGTTTCCCTACCACATAAAAGATAACTAAATTGAAATCCTTTGGCTAATATTTTACAATAAACAGAGTTTGATAAACTCTGATCATAAGTACTAATCCCAGGTCAATTTGCTGTGATCCTAAGGTACAGCGATATTTCCATTATCTAGGACGCTCTTCACATAGAAGTTCACTCCATTAATGGCTATAATCATGAAATTTTTAAGAAATATTTAAAAATCTTATGAACTCTCATGCTGACAATATTTGAAGATAAATTGTTTAATCAGATGAATTATATTTGTTTAACATGAAAACTTTTATCGATCATAGAAGCAGCACTGAGCTCTTAAGAGTGATGGGTTAAACGCTATGAGATTTGTTGTTAATACCCAAATATTTTCGCCTGAATAAAAAATCTATGTTGGCTGTTTAGCTCCTTTTCATTTACGACCGATCAAAAGTTCATTGCACTCTATTATTCAGATACTTTTTAACTGGTGGCAAAATTTTTAACGGCTATTGTATATCGTTATTAGTCTATATATGTACAAGGATAACTATGATTCAAAGAAAATCTAGTCTTTTTCTTTCAAGTAACCGATGGTAAATTATTATTGAGAAATAGTTTCCAAGATTTTTATATAACAGGCTTAGTTAGTTTCAAAATATGGATTTAAAACATAGAAAATATTATTTGAGTATTTCGTTTTTGATGTTCATTAACTATTTTGATCCATTTATTTAAGGTATTCAAACTTGTTACACTTCAAAATAGACCATTAGCTTTGTTCATTCAAGAAAAAGATTTATTATTCGTAAGCATTTATTTATTTATTATTCTTATTGAAAAAATTTTTTTCATCACTCTTCACATTATTTCAGTCTAGTAGAGGTAATAAAAAGCTGTATATATATATACATTTTGCTATTGCTCTTTCGTTTCATCTTCTTTGTTTCTATTTGTTTGAACTTTCTACTTACATTATTTTCTAATATAGGATAGTTTTATCGAAGATATTGAAAGCATTCTTAATTCTGGTACTGTTGTTGATTTATTTGAACCCGATGAATTCGATGCACTTACAATGGATCTTAAAAATGATGCATATTCAGCTGGTATGAATGATACACCTGGTCAACTTCGTGAATTCTTTTATGAAGTAAAAAGAATTGAAATAGATTTACAAAAAAAAATGTTCTTTTTTTTTTAAATTCTTGTAGCGTGTTCGAACAAATCTTCATATAATTGTTTCATTTTCTCCAGCTGGTAATAAATTTCGTGAAATATGTCGTTTACATCCTGCTTTACTTAATTGTACAAGTATTGATTGGTTTACTGAATGGAGTGAAATATCAATGAGTCAAGTAGCTGATGTTTTTCTTGAAACAATTGATTTCAAGTAAGAAAAATAGAAAAAACAAATAAGAATTTGTCAAATTGTTTCGTTTGTTATTTTAGAATTTTATCATCTGATAATGCAACAATTAATGAAAATGATTTTTGTCATCGTTTAGCACTTTGCTGTGTCTCTATACATAAAATTGTTATTGAAATAGCAAAACGTTTTTATGCAGCACATAAACGAATTTATTATCTTACACCATCATCTTATATGGATTTAATGAAAACTTATGGGATAATGATGGCACAAACAAAACAAGATTTTCTTGTAAAATTTTCAAATAGTTTTATTTGTTTTTGTAATTTTTGCATTATTTAGACAAGTTATAATCGATTATCATCGGGTCTTGCAAAATTATCTGATGCAAATGCTAGCGTAAGCATTATGCGTGATGAACTTGCCGTACTTGGACCACAAATTGATGCTAAAGAAAAAGTATGAGATATAAAAAAAAAAAAAAATAATAATGATTGATTTTTTTCAAATAAAGGAAATCGAACAATTATTAAGTCAATTACAAAAAGATCAAATAGCTGTACTTGAAGTAAAAGAAATTGTTGAAGTTGAAGAACAAAAAGTTCGTCAAGATACAGATATGGTTGAACGATATGCTACACAAGCTGAACTTGATCTTAAAAATGTAATACCTGTATTAGATGAAGCTATGGCTGATGTATCACAACTTGATAAAGCTGATGTAGCTGAAGTTCGAGTTTATCAAAGTCCACCATATCAAGTTATGATGGTTATGTGTGCTGTTTGTGTTCTTCTAGACTGTAAACCCGATTGGGCAACAGCTCGACAAGTCCTTGGAGATTCAGGTTTTATTAGTCGTTTAACTAATCTTGATATAAATCATATATCTGATCGAACATATCGAAAATTATTACAATATTCTCGTCATCCACAATTTACACCTGAACTTATTGGTAAAGTTTCATCAGCATGTCGATCATTTTGTAAATGGGTTCTTGCTATTCAACGTTATCATGAAGTCTATCGAACAGTTAAACCAAAAGAAGAAAAATTAAAAACAGCTAATGAAGCATTAGATGTTATGCGTAAAAGTTTAAGTCGAAAACAAGAAATGCTTAAACTTGTATGTAAAATAGATTTTTATATAATAGTAAAAAACAAAAATAAAAATTTTTATTTTTCTATTAAAAAATAGGTTAAAGATCATTTACAAGAATTAGAAGATAAATATCGAAATAGTATTGAAGAAAAACAAGCTTTATATGCACGACGTGAATTAATGAAACAACGTATGGCACGTGCACATGAATTAACAAACGTTTTAGCTATTGAAAAAGTTCGTTGGCAAGAACAATTAACACAACTTGAAGAACATGTACGTTCATTAATTGGTAATGCATTATTATCAGCTGCTGCAATTAATTATTTTGGACCATTTAATACTGAATTTCGACATGAACTTATGAAAGATTTTCAACAAGTTCTTAATAATAATAATATCAATTTTTCAGCTGATTTTAAATTAGCATCAATTTTATCAACACCAAGTGAAATAAGAAATTGGATTAGTCAACAATTACCTGATGATGAATGTTCAATGTAAGTTGATAGAAAAATATTTTTGAACTAAACGTTAAATCGAAATAAGTAGTATATGTAGTTTGTTACTTTTTTTTTATTGATTGAATTCTATTCAAGATCAGATTTATATTATATGTAGAAGGTGATCATGACTAGACAGAATTGAGTACAATAATTTTTTAACTTGAATCCGCACTGTACTCTTAATAATCTCAATGAAATACTTTAATTTGAACCTAATAGTTCGTTCGAAAATGTGAAATACTTTTTTCGATTATTTGTATTCGATGACTCGTACACCCTATATATTTCTCACGAGTGCTGTATTCAAATCTCAGGATTACCAACTATAGAATGACTCATTTGCGGTTAGTTAGTGTATACGGGGAGCGGAAGAACTCTGCATCGACATCCCATGTCGAAGAAGAGGAGTATTCTGCTGCTTCTTCTTCAAGCTATCTTGGTGGTGATTTTATATAAGAATCAATGTATAATTGGCACTTGCTTTCAGAATAATATCTGTAGGATCAGTCGTGGTTGAAGTCAACCGGAAAAGTTTAGAACATTAAAAAATTCATAATGTGATGCTTTGTTGTAGAAAATAAAAAAGAGAATCGATTCTTATGTTGAATTTTGAAAATAATTGATTTCAATTGACAATTATGTATTAAACAGTAGAAATATTGTATATATTTTCTATATAATGTCAGTAATTATATCGTTCTCTATAATACGTAATACACAAGACAAATATATCGATCTGTATGATCCGAGTATGAATCCACAAAAGCGTAAAAGCATGACACTCTGCATAGAACCAATTGGTTCAAATGCTAATAAATACAATTCTATATTCTTTAATTCTCTAGTGAAAATGCTGTTCTTGTTAAACATTGTACTAAATGGCCATTATTAATTGATCCACAACGACAAGCTATTCAATGGTAATAATCTTGAAAACAAAATTTTTGTTTTGTTCATAAAATTTTCATATCATTTTTATCTAAAAGGATTCGAACAAAAGAAGTAGAAAATAATTTACTTGTGATAACAGCTGATGATTCAACATTATTACGTGTATGTGAACAATGCATTCGACTTGGTTTACCATTAATTATTGAAAATGTTGGTGAAACAATTGAATCATCATTACTACCATTACTTGATCGTGATAAATTTAAACGACCAAGTTCATCTATTGGTACAATACGTTTTAATGATATTGATATTGAATATAATCCAAATTTTCGTGTTTATTTTATAACACAATTAAATAATCCACATTTTTTACCAGACATTTGTATTCGTGTTACATTAAGTAAGAACAAAACAAAATAGAAAATATTCAATCATTTATTTTCTTTTTATCTTTTAGTTAATTTTACTATAACACAAAATGGTTTAGAACATCAATTATTAAGTCTTGTTGTTTTAAATGAAGAACCACATTTAGAATATGAACGTAAAGTATTATTAGAAACTATGGCACAAGATTTAAAAAGTTTACGTGATTTTGAAGATCGTACATTAGAAATGTTAACAACATCTGAACAACATTTACTTGATCGTCATGATCTTATTGATAATTTAACACGATCTAAAATAACAAGTGATGAAATAGCAAATCGTTATCATGAAAATGAATCAAATGAACGACAAATAAATTTAGCTCGTCAATGTTATGTTTCATTAGCTAAACGTGGTTCATTACTTTATTTTCTTATTAATCATTTATCACGTTTAAATATAATGTATCAATTTTCTTTAACATGGTTTCAACGTACATTTCATTCATGTATATTAGATCATGATTCAACACGTCGTATGAGTATGACAAATTTATCAAACGAATTAGATCCTTTACAACGTTTAACAAGACAACGACGATCTAGTTCATTATTAAGTAGTTTAATTAGTTCACCACGACAAAGTATAAGTGAAGAATTAACACGTGAACAAATACCAATAAATCTAACAAGAACAAGACATAATACAAAATCATTTGTATCAACAATAACACCACAACAACGAGCAGCTACACTTCGTCTTATGGTTGATCGTTTAACTTATACAATATATCAACTTGTTTCATGGAGTCTTTTTGCTGAACATCAATTATTATTTTCATTTTTATTAACAACAACAATTGAACGAGAAACAAATAATGATGAAAAAACTAGATATATGGCAACTGCATCGGATATTATACAAGAAGAAGAAGGAGGAGACGAACAACAACAACAACAACAACAACATATAAATGAACTTGAAGCAAAATTACCATGTATAACACATGATGAATGGACTTTATTTATGAGTCCACTTTTAAGTACCATAAATGAAGATAAATTATCATTTGTTAATGATTTATTAGCATCATTATATTCCGTATGTCAACATTTATTACATGATACTAATCAAGAATTTTTTAAACATTCAAATCCTTATTTATATTTAACTCGACATGATCATCATAGTCGTTTATCTCGTTTTCAATGTATTTTAATTATAAAAATTCTTCGACCTGAACTTTTACTTCCATCAATATCACAATATGTAGCTGAACAAATGGGTAGTAAATTTTTATCATCAGGTTTTGCTGATATACAAGATATTTATACACATTCATCACCACAAGCACCTATTATTTTGCTTCTTTCATCGGGTATATTTTTGTTTTAGAAAAAAAAAACAAAAAACAAACTCGATCGAATATTTTTTTTTGTTTTTTATTGAATAGGAACTGATCCAACTAATCTTCTTCTTCGTTTTGCGAAAGAAACACGTGGAAGTGCATCACATCTTGATGTTATTTCATTAGGTCAAGGTCAAGGACCTAAAGTTGAAGAAGTTTTATCAAAAGCATTAACATTAAAAGGTCGTTGGATATTTTTACATAATTGTCATTTAAGTGCATCATTTATGCCAAGACTTCGAGTTCTTGTTAATAAGTATAATCATCTGCTTTATCTTTTTTATGTTTAGAAAATATTTTTTTGTTTTGTTTTTTTATTATAGTTTTAGTAAACCCGGTCTTGAACTTGATAGTCAATTTCGATTATTTCTTTCAACAAAACCTGATGTTCATTTTCCTCTTGAACTTTTACAACTTGGTCTTAAAGTTCGTTTTATTAATTGTATTATTTCAAAATATTTATCTTCTCATATTTAGATGACTATTGAATGGCCAGTAGGTCTAAAAAGTAGTCTTCTTCAAACATTTGGACCAACTGGTATTGTAAATGAAAAAGTCTATGATAATGAAACATTAGGTAAACATTTTTATTTTATATTTTTATTGAATATATAATTTTAAAATAAATGAATAGGTCCATATTGGCGTCGTTTAGTATTTAATTTGGCATTTTTTCATGCTGTTATTCATGAACGTAAAAAATTTGGAGCATTAGGATGGAATTTATCATATGAATTTAATCAATCTGATTTGGAAGTAGCTGTACTTGAATTAGAAAGTCTTGTTCATCGTTCAAAAAATCAAATACCACCGTTTGATGTTTTTTGTTATCTTGCTGGTTCAGTTGTTTATGGTGGTCGTGTTACAGATGAATTTGATCGACGAAGATTATTACGTATTATTGAACGATTCTATTGTCCTGAAACATTAAAAGAAGATTATTCATATGCAGGAGATGATGTAAAACGTTTATTCTCTTAAATATTTTACTTTTTTTTATTAATTTTTATTTTCATTTAGACATACAAAGCACCAAATTTAGATTTAAATTTTTCTGGTCTTCTTTCATATATAAATGCTCTACCAGATTTTGATGATCCACGTGTATTTGGTATGCATCCAAATACTAATCGAGCATTAATGTATGTTCAAGCAAATCAATTAGTTGATATGTTAGTAGCAATTGAACCACAATATCGAATGATGATTTCATTAGGGTATAAAATATCTTTGTTTAAAATTTTATCTTTATTTAAAAAAATTTTTTTTTTTTGTAGTGCTTCATCCGATAGTGATGCTGCTTGTATGACAATTATCAATGACATTACAGCAAAATTACCACATTTTATTGAAACTGGCTATGGTCCACAAGCACGGCATATTACGTTTGAAAATGCATTAGCAAAAATAAGTGATAAATTAGGTAGAAAACTCTTTTTTAAATAACGAGTGCGCAAGAATAAAAGTTCTTCTACGTATTTTCTTAGTATTTTGATCAAGATTCATCACCAAGTCTTAATATTTTTTCCTAAAAAATATTCCTTATTATGATTCTCTACAAAATTTCAAATCGGCTCTATTGAGCTGACACATTTTTCCGGCTGCTCACATATTGTTCGAATTTCAGCAATGATTCAAAAAGTAACAGTCAGAAGAATACTAAAAGATGAGCTAGGACACCCTTCAAAAAAAGGTTTGAAAATTAGATTTGAATAAATTTTTGAGCAGAACAAACAATTAAAATTCTTTTTTTCGGATGAAGAATTGTTCGACGTTGGCGATATTTAACGATCTAATATAAGCATTGAATCATTCTGAAGCTGATATAGATGATGATGTAAAACGAAAAGACATCTATGGTCAGGAGCATGCGTATTCGGTGTAACATCATGGATGATTTCCGATAATATAATGGTAGATCCTGCTTGATATATAAAACAAGTACTTTCGATGGTTCTCACTCAAGCCAATCATTTCGGCTTCCACAGTAGTGAATTCCTGGCAGATTTTCACTGAAAAACTCTGGAGAATCATAGAAACTTTGAAATAGGAGTCGGCGGTTGAGTTTTCTTAGTCCGAGTAGAGCCGGTCATTGGATTTCTGTTTCTAAATACGTATTATTTTTTTGAATTCTCCAGCCGTAAACGATCCTTATTTGTTGATCTAAGTAAATATGGCAATAAGGTGTTCGGATATCATTGGATATTTCAACAAGACGAAACTAACCCATACATTCATCATTTAACTCAAAAGTTGTGTCAGAATAATTTTTTAGCATTTATAGACAAAGATCGATAGTCTTCAAATAGTCCAGATTTAAATCTTTGGACTCTCGCGGTCACGATAAATTTGTTGGAACTATCAATTGGAACAAGATGATATCAAAACAAGGTTTTGATTTTAAAATGAAAGCATGCAATGAAAAACCAACAAACAAGAAATTCTAATTCTTGAACTGTTCGTTGGTTAAATGTATCGAACAATGATAGAAACTATTCATGTTATTAACGAAGGAACCCATGAATTCGTGTACTTTTCGATTTTTCTGCTTGAGTTATGAGCATTTTATTGAACTTTCGGCGTGTAGTTCTTTGAGTTCTTCTTACAACTTGATGATATTGTAAGAAATTGAATGAAAAACCCTCTGAAAAAAAAGCATCAAGACTAAACAATGAGTCTTGGCTAAAATATTTAAAAAATACGTAGAGAAACATTTATCTTGGCGTACTCATGATATAAACATATATTTAGTTTTATTTTCTGTTTGTTTTAGAAAGTAAATATCATGCTTATTCAGTATTTTTCTCATTACTTAAACAAGAACTTCGTGCATATAATGAATTACTTGAATTAATCCATACAACATGTAATGATCTACGTCGTGCATTAGTTGGTGAAACAGTTGTCAGTGAAATTTTAGAAGAAACTCAACGTACATTATTAATGCATGAAATGCCTCGTGTTTGGAAAGTATGTAAAAAGTGTAATCTTTGCTTTTTTTTTCTAATAGTAGTTTATATCAATCTAACAAACAGGAGCTAACACATCATAATGGTGTAAGATATTTTTGTATCGTATATTGCTTAAGAAAAAAACAAATTTACCTCGATCATTCATTTCATCCTCTTTTGCACTTATCCCTTTTCTTTTACAACCTTACATGTATGAATAATTGTAGAATGCATTTGCAGACAACATAGAAATATATTTTATTTGAATTATTTTTCTTTTAGAAAAAATCATATCCATCAACAAAATCACTTCTAGCATGGATAGCTGATAATCTTATACGAATAGCATTTTTTAAAGAATGGACTCGATTAATAGTAACTTATGTCGAAGATAAAGCTTCATCACCATTACCACCTATATTCAATATTGGTGCATTTTATTATCCGAAAGGTTTTGTTTTTATTGTTTATTGAGATGTAAAGATCATTTTTTTTTAAATTATATTTTAGGGCTTTTTTCGGCTATTCTTCAAAGTTCAGCTCGATCAATTGCATTACCTATTGATCAATTAAAATTTACCTATCAAGTATTAGATAATAATGAAGAATGTCAAATGCTCCAATCATCTACTGTAACTTTCAAATATTGTTTATGTTCGATAGTTTATATTTTCTAATTTTAGTCAACAAATGATATTGCTAATGGTATTACCATTGATGGAATCTATATAGATGGTGCACAATGGGATAATGAACGTCATCAGATTATTGATTGTACAAGTCAACAACGAACTCATCGTTTACCACCTCTTCTTTGCAAGCTAATACCGGTATAATGAATAAAATTAAAAAGACATTGTTGAATAATTCGATGTTTGATATTTTTGTAGAAAAGTATTGAGAATGTAGATTCAACGAATGTTTATGAATGCCCGGTGTATCTAACAGCATTACGAGCAGTCAGTGCGAGTGAAGCAGCAAAACATCTTGTTGGTACAATTACAATCCCATGTTCAGAAACGGAATCATTTTGGACAACACGATCAATTGCTGGTATTCTTGAAGTTAATGAATAATGTTTTAATTTTCTTATATATTTGAAGTAAAAAGAAAAAGAAAAGAAATATATATTTTCTCCTTTTCACACACTAAATAAATACATCGATATTAATATTAATATAGTTGTTATTTTTGAGATTCAATTTTTAAAGAAACAAATTATATTTAATGAAGGAAAAAATGTATGACATGATCAGAAAAATGATTAAACTGAAGGCATAACTTATGACTTCATCCTCTTGATGATGAAAATAAAGTCAACTATCCTTTGATATAACATGTAGATATTAGCTCACATATATTTTCCTATTGAACATTGCCTTGATACGTTACATCTCTAAAACAACAAAGAATTCTTGGTGATAGATTCTTCATGTGATTGTTTTCGTACAATATGTTTTCGGTGATTATGTTGTAAGACAAATTCTTACTGCTTGTAATGTGTACGCTTTTATTACTTTTCTGGTAATCATTTTTAGTAGAATAATCGGTACCAATATAGTCTTATTTTTTGGCTCCAGTTGTACATGTAATAGTATCAATTAAGTTTGTCTTCTTGATCAGTCTAAAATTCATTTTCAGTGTAACCGACCTCAAAGTTATTAAGTAAACTGAATTCGTTGTGTACACCGAAACAAGATTGGATCCTAACACTCAAAAAAATCTTCAAATTTTCTACTTCAAGAGCAACTCCATATTTTATAACTTAGTTATTTATGTCCTGTGAATGAACACAATGAATTACGACACAAATACTTTGATCTAGATTCTTTGAAATAGCTTCATCAGCTAATATGAGTGACAGTAACAGAAATTGTCTCTTCGCTATTGTAAGTAGTTTTACTAAAGTATTCATACAAAACAGAGGTGAAAGTGTTTTTCGATAAGAGTGATCGAGAGTGCTGTTTTAATTTGTTAAACTGGTAGTTCGTATTCATAATATTTTATCATAAATTTGTGCCATTGTCTGATAGCAGCCATCTGTACTTCTATCATTGAATACTTGCCCACCTTGCCAATTTTCTCATAAATTTCATCCAGTTCAATGCATTCTTTCTTCATAGCCATTTTCTTCCTCACGTTTTCATATTTACTTTTAAGTTGTTCAAGCTGTTCAATCAGCTTTAAATTGTGTTCGTATGAATCCTTCTTATCACAGATATCATTTTCTTCTTTTATCATTCTCTTCAGACCTACCAAGAATGAATCATTTTGTGCAGTGTCCATCGGTCCCAACAGAATTTCAGCAAATTCAGCACTCTCTTGGCATAAGTCTTCGAGCATCTTTGTCATATCTTTCTCAGAACTGCTTCGTAGGTCATCGCATTGTTTATAGCTAACTTCGTAATCAATAGGATAGTGATCAGATGGGTCACATCGACAAGTTCGACATTTATTGTGAAAGACATGTAAACAATCCATTGTAATCCAAAAGTCAGCTACTTGAAAATATTCACGGGGACATTTTAGACAAATAGCTGTTGTACTTTTGATAATTCTGGGACATAATTCTATAGAAAATTTACCTGATCCTGCATTCCATAAAATAAGATTACGAAGAATATTTCGCATTGCTTCTAACATGGGTCGAATCATTAAATTAATTTTCAGTTTTGCATGTTTCATCGAATGTAATTCATTAGGAATAATTCTTGCAGACATCTTATTACGTATATATTTGATAAGACGATTTGATTCATTCGATGATTTCTTCCAGCTGTCATTGTACTCTTGTTCTTCAGTGGTCTTGAATTCAATCTTATTGAGTCTGGCGACTAGATAACGAAATGATTCGCTGTCAAAACAAAACGTATTGTCTTTGTTGAAAAGAATCCTTTTGCCTGGAAGTGATTCAAGTAAAGCTTTGAGTGCAGGAGCTGTATCGCCTGGTGTATAAAATGTTGAACGTGAATTTGTGAAACAAAATATAATCTTGTCGTAAGTATTTTCACCCAGCAAATCGACCAGTTGTGTAAAGCACGACCGAAACAAAATATTAAGTCGTGCATTGTTTGGTTTCAATAGAATACAAATGGCATTCAAGTGCGTTAGATTTGTGATATATGATAAAATATGTTGTAGATTAGCATCGTCTTGAGTGGAGCCCTGTGTATCTCCTATTCCAGGAGTGTCGATAATACGCAACTTTTGCCCACGATTTTCGCTATCTCTAAAAGTAAACACATATGACTTGCAATGTTGAGTTACTGATTGACCCAGATGATCATGATCTTCATTACTTAAAGTATCACAACCTTCAAATTTGACTGAACGTTCTGTAAAATTATCATCAATAGTCATGACAAATGAAACAGGTATGAGTACAATAGGTTTGCCCTCAGCTTGCTGAAGTTCGTCGAATTTCAAGTAGTTAACAAGAGCATTGATAAAAGTCGATTTACCAACACCTGATTCACCAAGAAGTAAGATATTGATACTTCCATCACTTTTTGATCGTTCTGAAAGTAATGGATTCGCTCGTTGTTGGACATCTACATTATTCTTCTCGTCTAATGTACGTAAAGTGATGGTATCATTCAGTTTGCATGAACAATAGGAGAAGTCGACATAGATCAATTGCAACTTAGGATTATCCTTATGTTCCTTCAGCAAGTTATCACGAAGTTTATACCATTCTGACTGATTGTTTTTGTATAAATCGTCGTTGGAACACATGATACGTGTACATTTTGCATCAGTCAAAAGTTTTCGTTCAACTGTTTTTCGATCATAGGTAGTTTCTATACCTCGATCAATCGCATTTTGGTATATAAATTGTTTTTCTAGTAGGTTTTTGATAAACTGTTCCTTTTTGTTCATTTCATTCAGATGATCAGCAATATTGTTTATCATCTCTGCCAAGGTTTCCGCTTGATCGTTGCTTAATGTGTCAGAAATCCTATTCTGATCGCTTTTACCGCGACGGACAGCTACTATGAACTCTCTGATACGATGGATTTCATTTGTGTACATAGCCTTTACCTCCTGCGAGTTTCTTCGCATATTATTAAATTCAACCACTAGATGTTTTTGTAGATTCGGATAATTTTGATCCATTGCTTTTGTTAATTTTTTGAAATTGACTGATAATCGAAGTAAATAATATTCGATATTAAGCACGTCTTTTTCTTGCAGTGAATTGAATATAATTTTCCTTCCATTATTCACATCATAAAAGTGTTCCACGGGATAAAGATTATAATTATAGGGTTTGAGACATTCACTATTGCACTTGAATGATGCAATATCGCGGTGAAAGTCAATTATTGAATTGATTCTGGTGAGTTCTTGTATATTGGAAAACACTTCTGTGTGAAGAATTTTTTTGAGGAAACCCTTGTCTTCCTCGGCCAACGTTAAACTCGTCGGATCATCACTCAATGAAATGCGTAGTTTTTCAAGGACATAATCGATTGCTTGAACATCTTGATCATCAGGAGGCAGTTGTAAAACAACGACCGCATCAATTCCCCAATTAACTAACACAATAACATGAGTAGCACAAGTATCTAGATTTGATGATCTGATTCGATTGAACGACTTGAACATTTCGTCTGCAAAATATTCTGTTCGACTATAATAGTTATAGACGAGAAAGCGAGTGTATTTATCAATTGAACGAGAATAGTTGATTATTGCGCCGATCCCATTCGCTGGAGTGATTTGTAAAGCGATATTCAATCGCAGCTCGCCATGTATATTACACCATCCTAAGAGATTCCGTGCTTTATTAATATCACATGGGTCCATGAAACATTGTGGTCTTCGACGGGAATTGGCTGATTGCGTACCGAAATTTATATTGGAGTTGGGAACTACTTGATCAGAATATGCATCATAGAGTGAACCGACACGTCCAGATGAATCAACGGCTCTGCGTGGTGTGAAAGGACTTGATCTACTAGCTACGATGGGGGTCAAGCCTGAATCGCATGTAGGTAAGTATGTTTGGCTTGTAGCCATTTGGTGAATAGATAAATTATTCTCTAGAAATATTGAAATAAGCATAAGTTCAAAATTCTCAGAATAGTTGTGGAGAATGAATCAATAAAAGGCAGTAGTAACTCAAATAGGATTCGAACCGAAATCAATATTAATTATATTTATAAACAGCGATCCGTAAAACTTGTAGTTCTCAACACTGATAAGTTGAATGAGAAGTAGGAAGTCCGAATTACATGTATATCAGAAAAGAAATCATTTTCAAATTAAAGGCGACATTCACTTTCAAATGCATAAACAAGTTACAGATAGCTAGAAAGAAAAAGAAGTCTGTCGTATTTTCATTATGTTTGTGCAATGTTATTCTTAATATAGTTGGAAGAAAAGGAATGAAAACGTTGAATTTTTTTCTTTGCATCAAAGAAAGCCATATGTCGTAACCTCAAATATGAAAGATAAGAAAAAAACACCAAGATGTATTGAAGCGTTCGTCCTCTGAGCTTCTTGTGGTAAAGTTTTTGAGTAACAAGCATTTCTCTTTGCATTTGATATTGATGATATGGACTAAAATAATTTAAAGAGTTGTATGTACACCGACAGCTTTCTAAGTAAACATCTATATTTGACTGTCCAAAATATTTCAATTCAACCAAACGATCAGATAGAAAAATGATTTTTTTCGACTTTGTATCGAGGAAAGAATCATACATTTTCACAAAATTTTTCAAAATAACTGCATGTTTACATTCATAAACGAATCATCAAACGTGGATTTAGTTTTACAAGCAACGTCATTTTTCAGAGAAATAATATCTGTATCTAGATTCGACTACGCATATGTTAAAGTATTTCCCACTAGAAAACAAGATCCTCATGAATATCTAAATGTATTATTAGTTGAAAATGAATATATTATAAAACTTTTTGTCCAACCAGAGTATGAATGACGCTGGATAACTTACCTTTCAATAAAACTTAACCAACAGTTTGAAAGAAATAGAAATGAACTATATTGTAAATCAGATGTACTTTTTATGAACAATGCTCAAACAGTCTTGGCCTCCTCATATACTTCCATCAGAATTGAAATCTATGGAAAAACGATCATTTGATAAAAGATTGATTTGATTTTCAATAAGAAAACTGTGACAAAAAGTGACAAAATTAAAATATATTTTACCGATGCAAACGAATTAGAGGTATAATAAGCGTGATGAACATTGCTCATTCTGATATCAATATTGATCAGGCAACTACTTCTCGTATTCATTCATTTCTCAAATAGTTCTAACAAGTCTTGTGTTTCCTATCACCACGGAAATTTTTTTTTGTTCCCTGTCATCCTTTTTTCAATTTGCTTTTATTTTAATATCATTCTCAAATATCAGTCTTTTGTTTTAATTTCTCTATGATATATTTTCATTGTCTTTTATTTGTTTCCTAGAATTAGAGCATAGTGTAAATATTATTTCGTATGCGCTATTATTGCAATTTGTAAGTTAGTCAAATTATCAAGTAAGGAAAATGTTCTAATTACCAAAGAAAATCCGACCATGGTCTAACAGGCCGCATATAAATTTATTAAAAGTTTTTTAATGTGAAAATGAAATGAGATGTTATTCAGATATCTAATAGCTTCACTTAGCATCATTCATCTTTTCTTACTTTCTGAAGACACATCGTAGGTTCGATAATCTTATTCTAACGAATGTAACAATTGATATTTTTCAATAATTTCACTAAATATTCGAATTATGTACTGAGCATATACAAATTTTACAGAGCAAAAGTAGACTTAGCATTTAAGTAGTTATATTTGGCAAAAAAATTGTAGCCTTATTAAATTGTAGTGCAAATCGTCTTGGTTAACGTATTGTTCAATAAAACTTAGCGGACTGGTTGAACGAGATAAAAATCAATCAAATTGTAAATCGAAAATATATTTCATCTACACAAATCGATATCAATAATGTTCAACCACTTTTCAGTTCCTCATATACTTCTAAATGAATTGAAATTTATAGAAAAACGATCATTTGATAACTGATAAAAGTTCGATTTGATTTTCAACAAGAAAATTGTTTATTAAAAGTTACAAAATCAAAACATATTGTACTGATGAAAATATCATATGTATAATCACCGTTATAAAGATTTTTCATTCTGATATCGAAATGAGCCCATCAACCATTGTGCCTATCCACTCATTCTTCAAGTAGCATAATGACAAAACTTTTCTTTCACCCCACAATACTAATCTATTTATCATCTACTGTAATAAATTTTTCAAATTGCTTTTATTTTAATACGATCCACGAATTTGTGTTCCATATTTTTTATGATTTTTTTTCTCTGAAACAACCGCTCAGGTCCTTTATTTTAATGTCACTACGACATACTGTCATTTTCGTCGATTGAGTTCCTAGAATAATAATATCATGTAAATATTATTCTATATTCATTATATTTACCGATTTGCAAATTGGTTATATTTGACGAAGTAAGAAGAATATTCTAATTACCAAAGACAATCAGTTTGAATCTTCTATGCTTCATAAAATGTATGAATATCAAAACATGACACAATTATTCAGCAGTGCGCATAGAAGTTTATTCACAATTTTGTAACATAAACATCAGGCTGTAATATTTTATGTAAGATAGCAAATCCTTCCAGGACTGATATATAGATTGTTACTATTAATCAATTATTTTTTAAGTTTATTGTCTGATTTATTGTATAGGTTTATTTTTGATCATAATCATCGATGAGTTGACATTTATTTAGATATTGGGCGAATCTAATTACCATCATTCATATTTTCTTACTTTTTGAAGGTGTATTGTAGACTTGATGATTTTATTCTAATGAATACAATAATTCTTATTCTTTGTTTCATTGACTTTAATGGATCTTATAGAAATTGAAGCCATTTTCTAAAAATATAACCATCACTTTTCTCTTTATTCATACAAATTGTATTTCTATAGAAGCCAATTGCATAATTAAAAAGAAGTAACATTGTTCGAAAATTTTTCGATCGATCCTCTAAGATAATATTTTCTTAGAAAAAAGTTAGTTCTCCAGTAGCTGAAGTCTCTAAGTATATATTTCATCATACTTTTGCATCAAATCTGTGTACATATGATTATTGAACTACTTTGTTCTTTCTTATTGCAAATGCACATACAATGGCTTTAGTTGCAAGGTAACGTTCTAGTACTCAATAGTAAGGATAGTTTCAGAATTATACAAATACATGTAAAAAAAATGAGTTGAAAAAATATTTTACTTTTTTTGAAAATCATATCTATGTTTTTTTATGCTTCTTATTCTTTACAGTATATGGAGATGATCCGCTGTGATAAGAAATTTCTCCAGTAGGTTTCTAAAGAGTATTATAGGTTATATATGATTATTTTTTGCACAATTGACATTTGTCAATGCATTTCGAGGACACTTAGTGAAGTACAGTTTAAAAATTGTCTGATTTTCATATTACAAGAACAGGAGGTTCTTTTAGTCCTATCATAGTTGAGTATGTTCAATCAAGTTGGCACCTCATATTCATAATGCTTTATCATGAATTTGTACCATTCTCTAATTGCAGCCATTTGTACTTCTATCATTTCATTTTTGCTCACATTTTCAATCTTCTGATAAATATTATCCAGTTCAATGCATTCTTTCTTTGCAGTCATTTTCTTCCTTGTGTTTTCATAATTATTTTTGAGTTCTTTAAGCTGCTCGTTGAGACTTAAGTTGAGTTGGCATGAACTCTTGTTCGCGCAAATATCATTTTCTTCTTCAATCATTCTCTTCAAGCCTACCAAGAAAGGATCATTTTGAGAAATGTCGAATGGTTCCAACATGAAATTAGCGAATTCGGCACTCGATTGACACAAATCATTAAGCACCTTTCTCATATCAGTCTCAGAGCTGTTTGCTAAGTCATCACATTGTTTATATGCAAGTTCATAATTTATTGAATAGTGCTCAGATGAGTCACACTGACAAGTTCGACATTTCTTCTGAAAGCTATGTAAACTATCACTTGTAATCCAAACATCGGCAACTTTCAAAGATTCACGAGGACATTTTAAGCAAATTGCTGCTGTGCCTGTAATGATTCTGGTATTTAATTCTATAGAAACTTTAAGTGATCCTGCATTCGATAAAATAATATTACGAAGAATATTTCGCATTGCTTCTAACATAGGTCGAATCATTAAATTAATTTTAAATCGTGCATTTTTCATCGACTGCGATTCATTGGGATGAATTCCTATGGACATTTTAGTGAGAATATATTCAAGAAGACGATTTGATTCATTCGAGGATTTCTCCCAACTATCATTGTACCCTTGTTCTTCAACGTCCTCAAATGTGATCCCATTGAGTCTTGCGACTAAGTAACGAAATGACTCACTATCGAAACAAAACGTATTCGCTTTCGTGAAAGGAATCTTTTTGCCTGGAAGTGAATTAAGTAAAACCTTGAGTACAGGAACTGTGCTTCCTGGTGTATAAAATGTTGAACGTGAGTTAGTGAAACAAAACATAATCCTGTCGCATGTATTTTCGGTCAGAATATCGAACAATTCCATAAACCATGAACGAAATAAAATGTCAAGTCGTACATTGTTGGATTTCAACAGAATACAAATAGCATTCAAGTGTGTCAGATTAGTAATGTATGATAAAATATGTTGTAGATTTGCATTGTCTTGACCCGATCCATGCGTATCTCCGATTCCGGGAGTGTCAATAATTCTCAATTGTTGACCACGACTCTCACCATCTCGAAGAGTAAACACATATGATTTGCAATGTTGAGTTACTGATTGACCAATATGATCATGATCTTCATTACTTAAAGTATCATCTCCCTCAAATTTGACTGAACGTTCTGTAAAATTATCATCAATAGTCATAACAAATGAAACAGGTATGAGTACAATAGGCTTTTCCTCTGCTTCTTTGAGCTTGTCGAATTTCAGATAATTAGCAAGAGCGTTGATAAAAGTCGATTTTCCAACACCTGATTCGCCAAGAAGTAATATATTGATACTTTCATCACTTTTTTGCCGTTCTATTGGTAATGTTGTCACTGGTGGTGGAACACTTATAATATTCTTCTTTTCAGCTATAGGTAAAATGATGATGTCATTCAGTTTGTATGAACTATAAGAGAAATCAACATGGATTAATTGTAATTGAGGATTTTCTTCATATTCCTTCAGTAATTTACCACAAAGAGTATACCATTGTGACCGATTAGTTTCGTATAAATAGTCATTGGAACAGATGATTCGTGTACAATTTGCATCAGTCAATAGCTTCCGTTCAAGTGCTTGTTCATCATCGCCATTTTCTATACCTCGATCGATTGCATTTTGATATGTAAATCTTTTTTCTAACAAATCCTTTATGAAGTGCTCCTTTTTGTCCATTGCATTCAGATCATTGGTGAAATCGCTTATCATCTTTCTCAGTTTTCTTGATTGATCGTTGCTTAATGCGTCAGGAATCTTACTCTGATCGATTTCACCACGACGAACACTCATTATTATATCTTGAAACCGATGGATTTCAATCGTGTACATCACTTTCAATTCATGCCAACTTGTTTGCATTTTATTGAGTTCGATATTGAGACTTTGTCGTAGATTTGGATAATCTTGATCCATTGCTTTGGTTAATCTTGCGAAGTCGAGTGATAATTGAAGCAAATATGATTCGACTTTATAGGTGTTGTCTTTCTGCAGCTCAGTGAATATAACTTTATTTCCATTATTCGTAGTATAAAAATGCTCGATGGGACAAAGATTATAATTATATGGCTTGAGAAGATCGCTATTATACTTCAGTGATGGAATATCACGGTGAAAATCAATAATTGAATTGAGTCTAGTGAGTTCAGGTATATTGGAAAATACTTCTATGTGACGAATTTTTTCGAGCAAGCGCTTGTCTTGTTCAGATAATGTTACTATAGAGTGATCATCGCTCAAAGATATGCATAGTTTTTGCAGAGTACAGTCGATTTCCTCAATTTGTTCATCATCAGGAGGCAGTTGTAAAGCAATGACCGCATCAATTCCCCAATTAACTAACACAATCATATGAGTAGCACGAGTATCATGCCTTGGTGGTTTGATTTCTTTTGATATCTTGAACTCATCATCTTCTATATAGTCTGTCCAACTATAATAGTTGTATGACATAAAACGAGTATATTTATCGATTGGACGAAAATACTTGATTAATGTTCCCATCCCAGTGGTTGGCGTCATTTCTAATGCGACACTTAATCTTAGTTCATCTTGTATATTACACCATTTTAAAAGGTTCACACATTCATCTACATTGCATGTTTTCATATAACATTTTGGCTGTCGACGTGAATCGGCGAATTGTGTAAGAAAGTCTATAGTCGAGTTGGAAAGTATTCGATCAGAATATGCATCATAGAGTGAACCAAGGCGTCCTGATGGATCAAATGCTCTGCGAGATATGAAAGGAGATGATTTAGTAGCTGCAATTGGAGTTAAGTCTGGATCGCATATAGATAAATATCCTTGCTTCGTGGCCATTGCTTGAATAGATAAATTATTTTCTAGAAGCATGGAAATATATAGGTAAGATGAAAATTTTTTAAAGTATTATACACAATCAAGAACTTATATACCAAAGATTCTAAAATAAAATTTGAAAATAGAAGCAATGTTAATAATATATACGAACAAAGAATCATAAAATTTCAATTTCTCTATACAAATATTTGACATGAAAAGTATGATATGCCAATTAGCATAGTGATGTACTTTAAAAGTCGACGATCCTCGAGTATAAGTATGAGAATTCTCTCCCACATTGTTTTATGTGGAAACTAGTGACACAGATGTTTTACATGCAAAATTTCTTGTATTCTTTTGTAATCGTTTTCCAACTTTCCACCTTCGATTGTAATTTTTATTAAGATGCTTTGAAAAGGTTTCTTTTTGAAATAACTGGCGACATTCATTTTCAAATGCATAAACAAGTTATAGATGTCTACGAAGAAAAAGAAATCTGCCGTATTATTTTTTTGATGTTTGCAGTTGTAATGTCATTCTTGATATTGTTGAAAGAAAAGAAATGAAAAAAATGAATTTCTTTCTTTATGTCACAGATGGCCATTTGTCGTAAGAACATCTGAGAAAGATAAGAAAAACACATCAAGACATTTATGAAAGTTCGTCATGTGAGCTTTATGCGATAAAATTTCTGAATAAAAATCTTTCCTCTTGACGTTTAATATCGATGGTGTGAACTAAGATACATTAAAGAGTTTCATATACACTCACATCTTTCTAAGCAAATATGAGCATTCGACTGTCTTAAATATTTTACTCAAACAAAACGGTGAGTAGTTCAATATCTTCTTTTGACTTTGTAACGAGAAGATATGCATACATTTTTTGTCACAGAAAAAATTTCAGAATAACTCTGTGTCTGACTTCGGCTACAAATATGTTGAAGTTTTTTCCACTAGAAAATAAAATACTCTGGAAGACAAAAATTTACTATCGATTGAATATGAATATTTTGCCACGCATATTATGAAACTATATTGTGAATCGCGCTAGTTACTTTAGTGTTCAATGAAACTTAATAATCAACTATATTACAAATTGGGAATACTTCTTATCTATGCAAACTGATATTAACAATGTTTAACATATTTTCGAACTCCTCAGATACTTTCATTATCATAGAAACTTATGGACAAACGATGATCTTTTATAAGAAAAGTTTTGTGTAAAAGATACAAAATTAGAACATATTTTATCGATGAAAACAAATTAGGTATTATATCGGTTTAGCTGCAAGAAATATACAAACATGTGAATATTGTTCTCTATTCATCATTCATATAACTTCTAAATCAATTAGATTTTTCAAGGAAGAAAAATGATCTAATCATCTAAGAATATCAGGATCTTATACGATTTTCTAGCAGTACTGGTACAAATTCAATGACAACTTTGTAATATAAAAATTAAGTGAGATATTTTCTTTTTTTGTTTTTTGAGACTCAAATTTTATGCAATATAGAAAATTCTTCGGGAACTGGTATGCAGCTTTTTCCTATTAATCAAGTTTTTTAAGATTTCTTTTTCTGACTTATCAAGTATCTTACGACTCCAATTAGAATCATTCATTTTTTCTTACTTTCCAAACGCGTGTCATAGGATCGATGATTTTATTCCAACGGATGCAACAATACAAATTGGGTGTCTACATGAGTCTATTGCACAAGAGAAAAGAAATCCCATGATTCGAACAAGTTTTCTATCTACTCAAACTGTTCGTATGGGATGCTTTGATTTTTTTCCTGTCTTAAGACGTCTGGATTCATCTTCTAAAAAACACATCTTCCAGTTGATCATGATTTTGAATATTCTCTTTTTATTCACAATCTCAGGATTTGATATCTGTGTAAGGTGTGTGGAACGCAAAATTGAATTGGATTTTATTTTTAATTTATTTATACATGATTTGATAGAGCTTCATGAGCTGATTATTATGTAAACTTGTCTAATTCTTCATGGACAAAGAGAAGATCAAATGTGTTATCTGATCAGAATCATCAGATTTCAAGCTATATATAAGTATTTATCTAGTGTTTTTTCAAATTGTGTTTACTTGTCATGAGTAAGTTTAGAATCAGGACGAAAATCTACATTGAATCACATATACTTTAACGAAAAGTATTGTCTATGGCAAATGCATATGCGCTACCCAGTATTTTGCTCTGAAAAGTCTCCCTTGTGTTGACCAACCGATGTAGTTTTTCATCTTAATTTCGAATTTACTAGTTATTTTGCTTTTCATTTGAGTCATGGAAACGAAAATTGATAAATGCACGACTATTTTTTTACCTTCTTTCTCAAATAAATGAGAAAATATTCAATTTTCTCAATAATAAAACAAAATTGCAACAGAAGTCGAAATAAGTAATTTTAAAGCTCATAACCTGACAATTCTAATGAGAGAAAACATTGGATATTACTCTTGTTCTACAAAAAAAAAACTAGATAGGTTTGTAAAAGTCCTTATAAACACGTATTGTAAGCCTAGTTATTGCGAATAAAATTTTTTACGTTATTAATCTTAAATCTTAACAAACAATATTTACTCACACAGCTTTTGATGCTGACTGAGAATAAAATATTTTTGAAGAGTTTTAAAAAAATATACGATAAAACCTAGAGGTATTTAGAGAAAAAAAACCTGGTTTTTAGTCATACATCTAACATTATTTATTTCTTAGGATTTTTTTCAGTCAGAGAGTGCCTTCATTAAAATAAAAAATAATTAAATATACATAATCAGCTCACCAAACTCTATCAAACCATGTATAAATAGATTAAAAATAAAATCCATTTGAACTTTGCACTTCACCCACCTTATGAAAGTTTCACTATATGATAATTGAATAGTTATTTCTTTTGTCATACGTATGTAAGATGATTTAATTTGAAAATAATGTTAAAGTACTAAAATGTATAATTAAGGTAGCTATGGATTTATGCTGTTTTCCTTTGTGCAGTATACGAAGAGCGTGTGCTGTAATGGGACTATTTCTTCAGAATCTTTTTCAAGAATCTTACCAGTACTAACTGATAATGTCCAAAAAATGTCTTATTTTGATATTAAAAGTACACAAGTTTTTTTAAGAGTCTAATCAGAGTCGAAAGTGTATCCATCAAATTAACACCTCATGTTCATAATATTTTATCATAAATTCGTGCCATTGTCTGACAGCAGCCATCTGTACTTTTATCATTTCATATCTGCTTACATTTTCAACTTTTTCATCTATGTTATCTAGTTTGATGCATTCTTTTTTGGAAGCCATTTTCTTCCTTGTGCTTCCATATATATTTTTGAGCTTTTCAAGCATTTGTATTAGATTTGAGTTGAGTTCGTATGAACTCTTCGTAGCGCAGATATTATCTTCTTCTTTAATCATTCGGTTCAAGCCTACAAAGAATGGATCAATCTGTAAAGCGTCAGCTGGTCCCAACAGAAAATCAGCAAATTCAGCACTCGTCTGACACAAATCATCAAGCATTCTTGTCATGTCCTTCTCCGATGTGCTTGGTAAGCAATCACATCGTTTATATCCAAGTTCATAATCAATTGGATAGTGAGCAGACGGATCACATTGACAAGTTCGACATTTATTGTGAAAGACATGTAAACAATCCATTGTAATCCAAAAGTCAGCTACTTGAAAATATTCATGGGGACATTTTAGACAAATAGCTGTTGTACCCTTGATAATTCTAGGACATAATTCTATAGAAAATTTACGTGATCCTGCATTCCATAAAATAATATTACGAAGAATATTTCGCATTGCTTCTAACATAGGTCGAATCATCAAATTAATTTTGAGTTGTGTATACTTCAACGAATGTGATGCATTAGGAATAATACCTTCAGACATGTTAGTGCGAATATATTTGAGAAGACGATTTGATTCACTGGATGATTTCTTCCAACTATCATTGTATTCTTTTTCTTCAATGTCCTTGAAATCGATCTTATTCAGTCTTGCAACTAAGTAACGAAATGATTCACTATCGAAACAAAACGTATTCTGTTTGGCAAAAAGAATCTTTTTCACTGTAAGCGATTGAAGTAAAGCTTTGAGTGCAGGAGCTGTATTTCCTGGTGTATAAAATGTTGAACGTGAGTTGGTGAAACAAAACATAATCCTGTCGCAAGCATTTTCACCCAACAAATCGATCAATTGTGTAAAACACGAACGAAAGAAAATGTTAAGTCGTACGTTGTTTGGTTTTAATAGAATACAAATGGCATTCAAGTGTGTCAGATTAGTAATGTATGATAAAATATGTTGTAGATTTACATCGTCTTGACCCGATCCATGTGTATCTCCGATTCCAGGAGTGTCAATAATTCTCAATTTTTGACCACGACTCTCACCATCTCGAAGAGTAAACACATATGATTTGCAATGTTGAGTTACTGATTGACCAAGATGATCATGATCTTCATTACTTAAAGTATCATTTCCCTCAAATTTGATTAAGCGTTCGGTAAAATTATCATCAGTTGTCATAATAAATGAAACAGGTATGAGTATGATAGGTTTCTTCTCTGCTTCTTTGAGCTTATCGAATTTGAGATAGTTAACAAAAGCATTGATAAAAGTCGATTTTCCAACACCTGATTCTCCAAGAAGTAAAATGTTGATACTTTTATTATTTTCCAGTCGTTGTGGCGGTGATGTTGTCCGCGCTCGTGGAACAATTACATTATTGTTATTTTCAGTTGTAGGCAAAATAATAATATCATTGAGCTTGTATAAACAATAGGTGAAATCAACATAGATCAGTTGTAACTGAGGATTTTGATTACGCTCCTTCAGTAGCTGACCACAAAGAATGTGCCATTGTGATTGATTTTCTTTGTATAAATTATCATCAGAACACATGATACGTCTATTCTTGGGATCAGTCAAAAGCTTTCGTTCAAGTGTTTCTTGATCATCGCCATTTTCTATGCCTCGATTGATCGCATTTTCGTATACAAACCTTTTATCTAACAAATCTTTGATGAAGCGCTCCTTTTTGTCCACTGCATTCACATGATCACTGAAACTCTGAATCATTTTTGTCAAGTTTGTTGCTTGATCATTGTTTGTTACGTCAGGAATAATACTCTGATTAATTCCCCCATGGCGAACGCGATCTACTAAGTTCCGAATTCGATAGATTTCATTTGAATACATCTCCTCTAATTCGCGCCAAGTTTTCCGTATCTCATTCAGCTCGATCTTTTGATGTTTCTGTAGGTTGGAATAATCTTGATTCATTGCTGTGGTTAATCTTTTAAAGTCAAGTGATAATTGAAGTAAATAAGATTCGATTTTAAGAGCGTCGTCTTTTTGCAATTCAATGTATACACCTTCCTTGACAATACTTGAAGCATAAAAATATTCAACGGCACAAAGATTATAATTATATGGTTTGAGAAGATCTCTATCAAACTTCAATAATGGAAAACGTCGGTGAAAATCAATAATTGAATCGATTGCAGTGAGAGAAGTTATATTGGAAAATACTTTTGTGTGAAGAATTTTCTTGAGAATGGATTTCTCTTCCTCGGTAAACGTTCCATTAGTGTTTTCATCCTTCAAGAAAAAACATATTTTTTGAAGGACAGAATCGATTGCTTCAGTATGTTCATCGTCAGAAGGAAGTTGTAAAACAACGACAGCGTCGATTCCCCAATTAACTAACACAATCATATGAGTGGCACGACTACCTAGCATTCGTGATATGGTTCCATGCAATGATTCGAATCGATCATCTGACAAATATTCTGTCCAACCGTAATAGTTATAAACGAGAAAACGAGTGTATTCATCGATTGGACGAGAATAGTTGACTAATTTGGCAATCCCTTTTCCTGGACTTAGTTCTAACGTGACGCTCAACCGCTGTGCATCATTTATATTGCACCATTTTAGGAGATCTGCATGTTCATTTGCATGGCATTGTTTCATGAAGCATTCTGATTGCCGACGTGAAAGCGACAATTGTGTAGCGAAAATTATATCCGAATTGTAAAGTACTTCATCAGTATGTGCATTGTACAGCCAACCGATGCGCCCGAATGTATCAATGGCTCTGCGTTGTATGAAAGGATGTGATGTGCCAGCTACGATTGAAGTTAAGCTTGGATCACATGTAGATAAAAACTCTTGCTTTGCAGCCATTAGATGAATCGTTAAATTATTCTCTATAATTATCAAAATAAGTATAAGATCAAAAATCTTACAAGAGTTATACAAGATCAATAATTTTTATAGCAAAGTTACTCCAATAAGATACGAAATAGAAGCAATATTAATAATATTTATAAAACTTCTATTTCTTCATATGTTTTAAAACAATGAATTCTAAACTTTATATGCTGAGTGGTAAAAATTCTTATTTTTTAAATGCAGTAGATAAAATTGTCTTCATATACTTGCACCTGGAAACTGTGGTTAAACTTCTTCTATTCTTTTGCAATCGTATTTCATCTTTCTACCTACGACTGTGTTTTTTGTGAAGGTATGTCGTCAAAGGGCTCTTTTTTCCAAAATAAATGGAGACATTCTTTTTTTGAATGCATAAACAAGTTAAAAGTGTTGAGGAAGAAATAGAAAGCTGCCATATTGTTGCTTTGTCTAAACTGGAAGAAAAAGGAAAAAAAGTGAATTCATTTGTGTTTCTGCGGTGGCGCCAATTGCCATTAGTGGTTAGATGAAATATAACAGAAAGACTACAAAATTTAGAAGAATACGTAAACTTAGCTTTGTATGAAAAGAGTTCTGAGAACAAGGATTTATCTTCGTGTCTGATTTTTATCGTGCATGATCCAAGATGCCAAGAAACTAAGCTCCATAGTCATTTTTTGCTAATTGCTACGAACATTTGAATGTTGAGTATATTTTTCTCAACTCAAATAAGAAACGACAAGCTAGTTTCTTTCTCTTCGACGCAAAAGAGAACTACATTTGCGCATATAAGACTGTAAAAAATCAAACCATGTTAGATTTATAAGAATGGGCAGTCGAACTTTCATCATTGGAAGAAGAACATTCAGTTTTGATTGACAAATGATTTCTGATGCTGGCCATAATTAAATATGTAGTGGACTCAAAATATGGTTCGGAATGGATCAACAACTGAAATTAATCACCTCTATCATCGATTCGTCAAATGAGAACTGCATGTATTTTCCAACAGAAATTTTTATGATATATCAAAAGTGTTAAACTCCTTGTAAACAGACATGCGACCTTCAGAAATGAGGCGTGATCAGCCTTGAAATACTGAGAATGTTGATCGTAAGATATCAATAATTCTATATTTCTAAGATTCGTTCATTATGTAGGCGAAATAACTGATTGGATAGAAATGAGTGAGAAAACGAAAATGGCGATACCAGTTGTCTATGCTTCCTTGATAGTTGTTAAAGTGCCGTGTGTTTATTACTGATATATTTCATCGTTGACTAAACGAATAAAATTGAGTAATCAATCTTTAAAAAATCTCGATTGTAATTACATATCTATATCACCAGCTGATCGGATATACAAACAATGATGATCTGTTTTTCTACTGTTATCATCAAAAACATGAGATCAATTCAAGAAATTCAAATGAAATAGACACATTGAATTTATTTCAACTTCATGAAAATATTATCTACTGTCATTTCATACGAAAAAGAAATGAAAACGCTTTACAGTGACTCTGCATCGATTCACAAAGTCTTCGTGTAAAATTCAAATTTTCACAAGTTCATCATGTGATTCCTGAAAGTTAATGATCCAAAATATTAAGAAAATTATACGTAAGAATCTTCGATCTTACAAAGAAAGATTCGCAATTGTGTCTCATGACTTCTTCGTAAAAAGTAGATAGTTTTGTATTTGTGACTAGTTATTCTACACATACTATTCTCTAAAGAAAAACTATGCAACTTCTTCAGAGATATCGATTCAACCAGAGTAGTGAGACCCTTTGTAAAGAGAGAAGAGATCTAAAAAGTGACTTGACACTATTTTTTCATGAAGAAACAAATGAAGAAAAAAAAACAGCCTAAATACTTGATGCTTAGACGTTGATACCTGCTTTTTCTTTAAGTGTCTAGGACTACTTCGGAAAAAACGTTATATTGTGGACGTGATATCAACATGTTTAATGTACAAAGCTGATTCTAAAATTTAGCGACCAAAACACCATATAACTTTAATGTAATTATTATTTCTGAAGGAGTTATATAATTTTTTAGAATAGAGTATATAGGCTAATATTTTTATATTTAAGATCAAAACTTCTGCCTTGAAAAGAGATGTACCGTTTACAAGAAAACCTGGAGTCACACTAATGGATCTTTCCTTGTCATTATTACTCAGTCATTCTGTTTTGCAAGACGATCTTTTTATTACATTTTTGACAAGGATAAAAAGTTACATAAATATGAGGTACGATATCAAATACCATAGAAGTACTATTTATATAGATTATTATTTACAACAATCATATTAATAAACCTTACCAAATGATTTTCAACAGAAATAAAATGAAAAAAACCTAACATCTACAGGGCAAACAAAAGAATAAGAGAACAAAGATAAGAATAAGTTTTCTTTTTATTGCTTTTTCTTAAGTTTCTCATATAAACGAATAAATAATATGTGATCAATATCACTTGCTGATAAACACCTTCGTCTTTGAATAAATGCCAATACAACCGAGCTAAATAATCTTTCTACTCAACAGTTAATCTCTAGTATGGCATATACTCTTCTCGCTACTGTTGACAATAAAGGAAAATCTTCACGTGTTTCACTACAAGATCAGCATTCCATTGAATCACGATGAAATAGGTGACTTGGATGACCTGCAAGTCTTTCATCCTGTGTCGTTGTCTATTTTCGATAGTAAAAAATAATTAAATAGTTATTTTCTTTATGATTTCTCAGTATCTTTTTTATTAAATAATAAAATATGAAAAAACTTTGACGAAAAGAAAATATTCACAATGCTTGAGTCAAATAAAAACTTTTTATTATATTTTATAATTCAAGAATTTTTCCAACTAAAAAAAAAACAATAAAAAATATATAAATATGATTAATACAAGTTTAAATACAATGTGATAAAAGTTTCTGATAATAAGGTAAAACTTCATCATAAAGTGAAAGATATTTATGTGGAATATCGTTTCGAGTTAATTTTGTTGAAGATGGTGGACTAAATCCAGTTGATTTATGAACTTCATTATACCAAGCTGAAGCCCAAACACCATCAATAGATTTTGGACCAGCTGGCCATGATAACATTTCATCTGTATATGATAAATCTAATTGTTTACATGTTTCGATTAAAACTGATCTTGGATTTTTTCTTAATTCATTACCATTAATAACAATTGGATCTTCTTGTGTTTTTTCTTTTAACCAATCATATATTTTAACTTGATGTTCTAAACAAAGATCTTCACCAGTTATAAATGGATCTACTTTTATATGTGACATAATAATTTCAGTTGGATCACGTATAAGAAATATAGGATAATAATTTAATATACGATTTTTATTCATATCTTCTACTGTATTAGCCATATTTTTAACAAAAACATTTCCTTTAATATTTTCATTTTCTTCAATTTTATCATGTATTTTATTTGCATTTCTATTATATGCTAGAGTTAACATTATTTCATCATGATGTGGTTGTATTTTACCAATTATTTTTAACCAAAGTGCATGAAATGGTTCATCGATGACAACGGTATCAGGACGCTGATTGAACGAATACATAAGAGCTGTTGAAAAATTTCGAGGACCAGAAAGAAGATAAATTATCATGCTTGTGTTGAAAGAATTTCTTACACCCGATTAAAAAAGGAATAAAGTTGAATAAAATCTTTTTCAAAGTTAAATTACTTTATCTACAAGGAACAAAAACAAAAAGTAATTTTTTGTAAATTAATATACTGATATTAGAGTGCTTAAGAATCCCATCTGTTGAGTATGTAAGAGCCCGTTCGGAAGATGAAAAGCTACAATAGAAAATGTTGATTTATAGTTTGTCGTATCTCTAATGAAAAAGTACTTAGGGGTATCCAAAAGTAGTGGCAACGACATTTTAGTACCACTTAGTAAGCTTGATAAAAGTTTCTTTTTACACAGGATGATAGAGAAAAAAATGCTCTTTCTTTCTATGCTATTTG